GTCGGTGTTAACTAGACTCCTTTCCTTTAACCCTAGAAACTCCCTAGAGGCTTTTTTCTACCATACATGTTCAGCTCTTTAGTGCTTTCTCTATCCCTACACACCATGGTCCCCACACAGCTAGCAGGTGATCACCAGACGGTTGGATAATCTGGGAGAAGGAAGAGACAACCCTATCGTTTTCCTCTAGTGCAATACAAATTCCTGTCTGGTTTGCCTCACATATCTCCTTTCTTTTCCACCCAGTTCTTCACAAGAGAGTACACTGAGCAAGCCCCACCACCATGTTCCCTTTGTTAAGGCATGCCTGAGTAACTTGGTCTTATGGACACACTTCTATTTGACTTGTACAAACACATTCATTCACCTACAGCTCAACATTAAGAGGACATTTTCATCCTTGTGTTTATTTGTGGTAGAACAGGACTTCAGGATTTCATCAACTCTACCCTAATGGCTCTTATGGTGAAACAGAAGCAATAACTGGTCAGTGGCAGGTGTCTTGGAAAGGAACATAGTGGGCAAAGACTCGAATTCTCTATTGACTGCAGCAACATCTGGTGCTCTTAGTAGTCAGAGGAAGGTGAGGTGGGGCCAAGCAGGGAGTCCACGGGAGGCAGAGGGAAGAACAGATTCTCTAGAAGGCTTTCCTACTTCCTTAAAAACTTAAACACAGTGGCCTGATGTATCATCCCAGGAACCACTAAACATTTAAACCCAGAGGAGCTACTTATCAGACCTGTCTGAGCTCTCCCCGTGCAACGTCAGAGGCTGTGCACTGTCCCCGTGCCACGTCAGAGGCTGTGCACCATTCCTGTGCCACATCAGGACCATCAGGAGGCTGTGCACCATTCCCGTGCCACATCAGGACCATCAGGAGGCTGTGCACCATTCCCTGCCTCCCTCTTGCCTTCACAGGGAATGCTGATGTCATGCCTGTTGCTCTCAAGAATTGTGTTGTTTCATCAAAAAAAAAAAAATGACAGACCCTGCGTTCATGAAGATAGTCTCATAATAATTTTCTTTATTTTTTTTTAAAATAATTTTCATTCTTACTTCTAAAGGGGATTTCCTGGGGCCTCTCAGGTAATGTCCCATTACCTAGGAAACAAAAGTAAGCCAGGCTAGAGCAGCCCCCAGGCTGCAGAGCTTAATGCTCCTCACACTTAGGGATAGGGAGAAGAGGTTAGGTCTTCCTAAATCATAGGTAGCCAAGTCAGGGACAGGATTGACTGAGCCTGTCCACCCTGGATGATCTTGGGCACAGAAGAAAAAACAGATTTCCTAATGATAGGGAAGCCAGGAGCTGTGGACAAAGCAGAGGGATCAAAGCTCTGGAAGGCTTCTAATGGTGTGGTGGGAGGGAGGACACTGTGTGTGCAAGGTGGGGTGGAGATCAGAACACAAGGTGGTTAGCTGCAGAGTAACTGACTCTTCAATGGCCTAAGGTACTTGCTGGCCAAAGGATCTTCCCCCTAGGGTACAACTGGTGCCCATAAAGCCTCATATATTATTGTTTGGAATCCTGTAATAAAAAGCTTCTCTAAAAAGAACAGAAGCAAAATGACTAATGGAGTCGATGGCTCAGAACCAACCTCGAGAGGCCATTGTGTTCATGTCCTTGTGTGTAGGTACACGCAAAACCTCCCTCAGACGGTTGAAAAAGTCAGGTTTCTGCTTTTCCTTATGAATCCAGTAAGGCAGCACCATCTCCCTGGGTAACATGCTCTAAAGTCTTATTATTTGAAAGTCCAGAAAGTCTTCTCGGGTTAAATTTATGACTTGGTTCTACTAAGTATACTACAGAATATCTGTCTATACTCAAAAGATTACTTTATACATAAATTCATACATATATAAATACATATCCTTAGGTATATAACTTTTTTCCTTAGCACATGTATGAAAATTTAAGAGCAATGTAATAATTTGATAGAATACCTTTAAAGATAAAATAATTAAAACTACAGATAATATTTACATTGACTGTTTTATTGACTTTTGGACAGTTTTCACAATTTCACAAAAAATATATGAACATTTGCAATCCTATGAGGACAGAAAACTATCTTGAAATACTTTTTGTAAATTATGCCTATTTATTTTTATTTTATGTGTATAGCATTTTGCCTGCACGTATGTAAGGGTACCCTGTGTTGTGCATTGCCTATTGAGGCCAGAAAAGGGTGTTAGATTCCTTGGAACTGGAGTTATGGATGGTCATGTGAGTTCTGGGAACTGAACCTGGGTCCTCTTTAAGAGCAGCCAGTGCTCTTAACCGCAACCCATCGCTCCAGCCCCATCTTGACATTTTTATCCCAAGCGTGTCTTTGGTTTCTTGTTGCTTTCATCCTTATGGCCTCAAAGGGAGAAGTAATCTCCCTGTAACATACCACAGCTTGCTAAGAGGCTGCTCTGTTTTGAACTTTCCAATGTTTTCTCTTTTTTCTTTTTAAAACACAATTTATTCAAGTGTTCTTTGCCACTTTATAACAATAGCTTTCTTCATTTGTGCTCCTAGAGGCCTTTAACATTTGTCATAATCAGCTGTTGCCACTACAGCTACATACTTTAGACTAGGTGACTTAAAAGAAATAGAAATTTATCACAATTCAAGTCTGGGAATCCAGCTTTCAGACACTGGCAGCATCATTGTCTGGTGGGGGCTGTTCTCCCTGCCCCTGGTCACTTGTTCTTATAAGTAGAAGAAGGGATGATATTACAAAGTTTTCTTATAAACTTCAAGGCTCCCTTTCTTCTGTTCATCAGAAAACTTCAGCCCAATAGGAACATCGTCGGCCCCTCTTCCCAAAGTCATATGGGAAGAAACTTTCTATTCTGCAGTCTGTCATCTCCACTGGAGCGGTACATTCATTGAGCAAGCTCCTAGCTCGCCCTAATCTCTTGATCTCCCTGCTGTGCTCACAGTGGCTCCCTCTTCAAATACGCTGAGCCACACCTTTGGTGCATGGCCTTTTGCTGTCCCCTCCCCTTGGAACGCCCATGCCCTGACCTCCCTCAGGATTCCACCCAGCAGCTCCCTTCTCGGGACCTCATGCCACGCCTCTCTGAAGCATCAACACTTGCTTCACAAGTTCCCTTCTTTCCATGGTTTTCTTCTCATGTCATCTAGCTTACTTGCATATTTTTCTTATTTTCCGTGCCAGTTACCATTCGAGATACATGAGCACGGGAAGTTTTGTTTCCAACCTGGAAGGGGACCAGGGAGGCAGATGCAGCATTGTTTGCTGTTTCACAGCATCACGTCGTCTCCTCTGGGCTCGGTTCTGTCTTCCATCCCCCAGACTCTCTCCATTCCCATCTTCTGGAATTGGACTATTTCGGGTATTTCACTTTGAACCTCTCCATGACCCCAAACATATCTGAATGACAGATTTCCCCAGAAAGCCATCTTAATTACAGTACTGACAAATGACTTACTTAAGTGTGTTTTCTCTTCTCTCCGGGAGAAGAGAAACTCCACCTCTTTTTATAGTATTTATTTTTATTCTAGTCATATGTTTTGCCTGTGTGCATCTAAGCACTCCTTATAAACACCACCTCTTTTTAAAGTATTTATTTTTATTGTATTTGTATGAATAAACTCCACCTTTTTTAAAGTAGTTATTTTTATTCTATTCGTGTGAATGTTTTGCCTGCATGCATCTAAGTACTCCTGTTCATGCAACGCCCTTGAAGGCCAGAAGAGGACGTCAGACCTCCTGGGACTGGAGTTAAGGATAGGTGTTAGCAGACATGTGGTTGCTGGGACCCAAACCCAGGTCCTCTGAAAAAGCAGCCAGTGCTTACCCGCTGAGCCATCTCTCCTGCTTCAACTCTCTCTATTGTCTTCCTTGTAACTGTTATCTCAGCGTTAGTAGTAAGTAGTAACTGCAGCAGCCACCTCGTCCCTGGTCTTTCTGCTTAGTCCCTGGTGCATTCCTAATTTGGTTGTTACCATAAGCATTCATTAGTTCAGGCACCTGATAAAGCTCCCTGCTTTGCAGTCCAAGGGTTCCACCATCCGCTTGCCCGGACAGCATTGTTCCACCTGCCACATGAAGCACATCTCCTCCTATGGACTGACCTCTTTTGCAGCTACACTCAGATCCTTCCCATTTAGCTGGCTAACCATGCGTTCATGTCTCTATACCATTACACAAACCGCACCTTGTACTTGGAAATCTCAGGCCCCTCTTCCAGCTTAATGAATTTCTGATTATTCTCCAAAGCCCTTCTCAGATCACCCTAGGAGCTCTTAGTTCTCCCTTCCTACGGTATAGGATACATTCTTATTTTAGCATATAAATATTATTATTATTGCTCATTAAGATTATTTTTGCTCATTAAGATATTTATCTTTCTGGGGCTGGAGAGATGGCTTAGTGGTTAAGAGCACTGACTGCTCTTGCAGAGGACCTGGGTTCGATTCCCAGCACCCACATGGCAGCTATGAATTGTTCTTGACTCCAGTTCCAGGGG